ACAATAAATATTTTTTAGGCCCACGTGTCAGCTACCTTTTCTCCTCTTTAACCTTTCTCTCTCTCAGGTGGATGGTGGATGGTAGCAACTGGATGGCGGCGGCAACGAGACGGAGCATGGTGGAGGATGAGGACTATGGCGGAGGCCGTCGAAGGCTAGGTCAGCGAGGCCAACGGATGAGCTCTCTGTTGCAAGCGGTGTGCGAGCATCTCGGTGTCGATCTCTGCGAAGGGGACGACTCCCCACGCCGGCTCGGCACCTTCTCCTCCTCGCCGACTCCCCACGCCGCCGCCTCCACCTCCTCCCCTCCGCTCTCCTTCCCCAATGCCGACCTTGTCCTCCGCCTCGACCCCTGCCCCGACTACGAGGTGGATTTCGACGTCAGCGAGGATCACCACTCCTCCATCGACCTCCACGTCTCCTCCGCGCCCCTGCTTCACTCCCACTACTTCGGCGCTCTCCTATCTGACCGCTGGAGCCCTGCTCCCACCTCCATCGCGCGGAGGGAGGAGAGGCGGCGGCAGCGAGGTTGAAGGAGGCGAGGACAGGCATGAGGCGACAAAGAAGGGGCGTGGGAGGGGACACAGTGGCAGGGAGGGAGGAGATGAGGCGGCGGCTGAGGGGCGCGAATAGAGGTGGTGGCGAGGCTTTCTCACCTCTGCTCTCTCTCCGCTCTCGCCGAGCCACTCCACCGAGATCCCGCCGCCTGCTCTCTCTCCCCTCCCGCCGTCCTGCTGCTCCCGCCAAGCTCCCGCCGCTCTCACCATCTCGCTCGCCGCAAAGGATAAAGAGGGAGGCGTTGGGCAACTGACACGTGGGCCCAAAAATAGTTTTATTTTTATTTTGGTTTGTTTTCATTTTAGTGCCACATCGATTTCACATGGGATAAGACACCACAGAAGTCAAAATCGCCTCCAAAAACACCGGTAGAGTTGATTTGCAACGGTTTTGGAAGCTAGGGGATGGTTATACAGGTTTTGCGGTTGAGGGGTGCGATTTAACCAGCACATGAGTTGAGGGAGAGAAACTAGACTTATTCCGCCTTATTATAGTTGTATGGGCTGGCAAACTGACAGCCCACCCAACCTGAACAGGCCAGGCTACCCGGGTAAAAGGACTGAACCATCTTTAGTTAAATCTCTATAACCGATTTCAGGATCAAAAATCTGGCCTTCTATTGAGCCACGTGGCACAGTAAAAATTTGGTAAGACATCTTCAAAAAAACTACCACGTGTCCATGAAGAGGAGTTAAAGAGCCTGCTTCGTTGGAAGTTATGTCTCCTGTACACATACATGATACATACACCTATCAGAAATCTCTAGAAAACTCAATACGGAGTATTGCCAAGTCCTCGAAGACTCTCCAACGGGGTAATCACTCAATACATAGTATTGCCCAGCCCTCGAAGACTCTCCGACGGAGAGATTACCTAGTCGTTGGAGAAGATGAAGAGGCCACACTCCCGTGCACATCATGGTAAATAAGTGTGTACAGTTCATGGCACAAATTCTATAGATTTGCAACTTTTCATATGGTACCATGAAAAAATGATGAGTATTGTAGCTCTTTAAACAAAATTTAGAACACCTTTAAATAAAATATCATCACCTTTAAATAATGTGATTTGCTACACTAAATTTTAACTTAAAAATTGATTGAAATTTTTATTCGAATGTACCTTTTTTTTGTTTCAATAAAATTGAACTAGATTCTTATAAAACTTTGCAAAATTTATATTAGCTTTGTATTTAACATAATGTCATTTTAAAAATCAACACAGACTCCATTACACATATTTTATCATTGTTTTCCCAAACTACATATCTATACAAATTAAAATACAACAAAGTTTTCATCAAAAATCTATTGATATGATATTTACAATTTAATAGCTTATGATATGGAAATTTGAGGATGTCTTTTTGCAACAAACATAATGCTTCTTAATAACACGAAAACAAATGCAAGGGCTATAAAGGCACGCTTGTTTTCTAGTTTTGCTTATAAGGGCATCTCCAAGAGAATGCTAAACAGGTTACTAAAACATAAATTTTAGGAATTTGGTGAAAATCAGCCCTCCAACAGACTCCTAAACATGGTCCCAAAATTTAGCCACCTCCAAAACCAGGACCAACCTGAACCAAATATTGGGCAACTAGAAGCGCTCCCAATCGAAGCAATCGTTCCTGCCCGCGCCGTTTTTTCTTTTCCTGGCGCCAATTTTTTTCCTCGCCCGCGCTTTCCCTCAACCACCGTCTCTTCGTTCGCCGGGAGGAGCCGCGCCTTTCTTCCCCTCCTCGCGCCAGCTTCCTCTCCTCGCGCCAACTCCGTTCAGGGCGCCGCCAGCCGTCCGTCCGTCCGGGACGCCGCAGGTTCTCCAAGGCGTCGCCGGCCCTCCGTCCAGGGCGCCGCCGGCAGCCCATCTAGGTCGCTGCCGCCCCTCCGTCCAGGGCGTCGCCGGCAGCCCATCTAGGTCGCTGCCGCCCCTCCGTCCAGAGCGCTAGCGGCCTCCGTCCAAGTCACCATCGACTGTCAATCCAGGGACCGTCGGCAGTCTGTGCCCCTTCGTCCACCTCGCCTCTCAACGACGTGAGTTGCTACTGGATTTGTTTGAGGTAATTTCAGAGTAACAACTCATTTATTTTCTGCTTCTCTCCATGGATCTAACTCTCTTTGTGTTCAATTGAGGTTGACTCACTGATATTATCCCCATTGATATCCTAGTACTGACAAGGTCCTTATGTGTATTTCTTTGTTTTCGTTGATACAAGTCTTAGATGAATATGTCCAAAATAGTCTTCACAAGTTGCTAACAGACCATATTCTTCTCACCCTAAAGTTCTATTGAAGTCCACTTAATTGTACTAAAACTATTTTATTCAAGAAGACAAATGGGACATGCTAGTTTCATATTCTACTGAAGATTTTATTTCTTTACTGGTATAGTTGAGGTTTTTTCCCCTGAACTAGTATAAGTTTTTTTTTTCCCTAAACTGCTATAGTTAAGTTTTTTTTTCACTGAACTGCTTTGCTTTGAATGTTGTATTCATAAAAGTCAGTATCACACTGCACTGAGGCCTAATCTGAGGTATGTTTCCATTGACCAGTTCCATCTGTTGTGTGTCATATGCTTGTGCCCACTTTTACTTCTATCATGATTAAGGTCAAAATTAAGGTCGAAATTTTTTTGAACAATGTTAGTATATTTTAGATCTTCAGGTGTGGCATGCTATCTGCCATGGTGCATGTGCACTTAAGTCAGCACACCACCTGAAAGGCTGCTGTCTACAAATCTAAAATATTATATCAAACGAAAAATCTGAATAGCATCTATCATCTTGTTTTTTTAGGCAGACAGACAACATTGCATTGCTTAGATAGACATGTAAACAAAATAATCATCTTCCATTTAACATACATGATGGAGATAATTGCTTGTAGGTCCTACTGATAATGGAAGAAGAAGGATTCTATACTAATTTGATGAATGAGGGGAACGATTCCTTAGATTGGGATAGTTTGAGTACGATGCCTGTGGAGGATGATATGAGTAACCAGCTTGATGAGAATGGCATGAGTAGCGAGCCTGTCACGCAACAGTTCCCCACTATTGAGAGGACTACCGTGGCTAGACCAAATCAAAAAAGATCGAAGAATTTTAGTGAACAAGAAGATAAGATACTTGTGTCGGCGTGGTTGCATGTAAGTTTGGATCCAGTGCTAGGCACAAATCAAACTCGTGCTGCATATTGGACTAGAATATACGAGCACTTATACAAAACAAGTAAATCCACACCAGATCGCAGCCAGAATTCACTTATGCATCGTTGGAAAACTATACAAGAGAATGTCAACAAGTTTTGTGGATATCTGAGCCAGATTGAGGGTAGAAGACAAAGCGGGGTTAGTATACACGACAAGGTACTACATAGTTATGTAGCTTGTGTTTTTATGTTAGTTTATAAATAAAAGATATGATGTTTGCTAACCACATTCACTTGACTTGACATGTGCAGATTGCTCAGGCCATTGCTGTATTTAAGGAGTTGGAAGATAAGCCCTTCCAATTCCTGCACTGTTGGACTCTCTTGAGGTCACAATCCAAGTGGCATGATAAGATGAAGCAAATAACATCCCAAAAACCCTGTGCCACCAAAAAACAGAAGGCAAGCACAGATGGTTTGGGAAAAGCTATACCCACAAATGATGATACTACCAATCATGTTGATGAAGATAATGAACCTACAGAGACCGAAGAGCCGAAGATCAAATACCTTGCTGCATGATCAACTGATCCATGTGAGTGCATATTCAATTTCAGTTTGAATGATAGGTTACTGAATCCATATTTTCGACAGTGATCAGTCAAAAAAATCACTTGCAGTACTAGCTAGCTTCAATTATTGTTTACAGTACAAACATATAGGTAGCTTCAAATATTGTACATTACTAATTAAAATAGACTAGAAAACTTGGCAGCTCTATACTCTGTACATGTATTATGGTTAATTCGAACTCCATCTTATTGCTATCAACAGGGAAGCCACCTCGCTGAGACCTTCGTACATGTGAAGAAGCAACTGAACAAATTGTGACCAGATCAGAGAATGGGAGGGAAAGAGATGGCAATCGTAGCTGCAGTTTAGATCAGTGGTTTGTTAGAAATTTATCTAGGTTTACTAAGTCTGCAATGCAAACTATTTATATTCAGAATTGTGTCTTTTTGTTTTGTCCGAAGTTGGTGTTAGTAGATGGGTACTTCCCTTATCATGCCCTTGGTGTTAGTCTGTGTAATGAATCAGACTTTATGAGAGCCTGATGTTGCTATTGACCTGTGGTAATCTGTATTGTCTCTCACTGAGAGCCTGATGTTTGATTGTTTCCTGGCATGATTGAAAAGCTTCTGGGGCCTCTACCTCATCTGTGGCTTTTCATGATTGACAGGAAGACCACATGACATATTTATCACTGCCAGCCGACATATTCAACAAAATGCATAAAGGAAGTGCACTTTTATTAATTCTCCTGTACTATTCTTAAACCGAACAGTACACCATTTATTCAATACATGAAGAACAAATTAAAATGATTTTGCAAATCCTCACATATGTATACTATTTATTACATGGAATTCAAACATATAAATAAAACCTCAATATTTATCAGGATAATGTTGCCACAAGTGCTCCACTAGGTCTTCACGTAGCTGATAGTGAGTTTCGTCGTCCCTTATTTTTTTGTGCATCTGGATAAAATCATCAAGATCAGGTATTTCATCGTGGGACACTCTGACATTTTCTCCTCCCTCTGGGAACCGTTCTTCCCAATCAACTTCTCCCTCATCTTCAATAATCATGTTATGCATGATAACACAAGCTTTCATGATGTATCCCAGAGTCTTTTCATCCCAATGTCGAGCTGGCCCTCGAACAATGGCAAATCGAGCTTGCAGAACCCCAAAAGCTCGTTCGACATCCTTCCTTACTGCTTCCTGTGCTTTGGCAAAATATTTCCTCTTGTTGCCATGTGGTTCTGGTATGGTCTTCACAAATGTGGCCCAAGAAGGATATATGCCATCAGCAAGATAATATCCCATCATATAATCGTGTCCATTTATACTATAGTTCACTTCAGGAGCCTTGCCTTCAGCTAGCTTTGCAAATAGCGGGGATCGATGAAGTACATTGATATCGTTATGAGACCCAGGCATACCAAAAAAAGCGTGCCAAATCCAGAGATCCTTTGAAGCAACGGCTTCTAAAATTATTGTAGGCTCGTGCACGTGCCCTTGGTACATACCGTGCAATTCTGTAGGGCAGTTCTTCCACTTCCAATGCATGCAATCTATGGAGCCTAACATACCGGGGAAACCTCTGTCCTCCCCAAGTTCAAGTAATCGAGTTGTATCGTTCTCATTGGGTGATCTTAAGTATTCATGTTCAAAAACTTGTACAACTGCTTTCACAAACCTTCTCAGGCTCTCTATAGCGGTACTTTCTGCAATACCGAGATATTCATCCAAAGCATCTGCTGCTATACCATAAGCCAACTGACGCATTGCTGCAGTGACCTTTTGGTGACAACTGAACCCAATTAAACCAGCTGCATTTCTCTTCTGCACAAAATAGTCATCGTGATCCTCTATTGCATTCATTATGCGGAGAAACAGAGGCCTGCTCATTCTATTCCTGCGAATCATAACTAATGAGACATGCATATCTATGCATATAACAAAAATAAATTATATAAAATTTACTTATACAAACCTGCGCCTGAATAAAACTGGGCCATAGGTAGGATTATTGGAAAAGTAGTCTTGGTATAATCTCAAGTGCCGTGCTTCTCTGTTGCGATCAATCACTTCATGTCCCATGACTGACCCACCATGTCTTGGTGCATTGACAGAGTGCCAATAGCTATGGACGATTTGTGCCGTGGCAAAAAAAAAAATCATCGTCATCGTCAGACGATGATTCATCCACGAGCTGTTGAAACGAGGAGCGAGGTCGACTCATCTTGGATCAAATCAACTGCCAAACCATTATTCATCACAATAAATTAAGTTTTCCCCTTGCGACGTTGTCAGATCAAATTAAAAAAAATGTGATTGGCCTTCCGTTTTTCCAAATATTTATTCATCATATCAAATTAAGTTTTTTTTTCCATCAAGACATTGTCAGATCAGAAACATAAAAAAAGGAAATAGAACAAAGTAAAAAACATGGTTGCTAGCAAAATTTTGCTACTCACGCACTGCACAAGAGCTTGTGCCTGTCACCAATCGTTGCTGCTTGCTGCAGTTGCCTGATTAAGTGAGGTGCTAACGTCGCCGGCCCTGACAGAGGAAGAGCTCTGATTGAGTGAAGTGCTAACGCCGCCGGCGCTGACAGAGGAAGAGCTCTATGTGCGTCTATAGCACTGTGTCCTTCGATCAATTTCGTATATCGCTGCGTCTGATATATAACCTCGCCAACGGTATCAGTTGCGATCTCGCGCGCGACTAGGATGAGCAGCCATCTCCTTCCGTCCGCGTGCGTCGCGTCGACCATGCCCATTCCCCTCCGCATCCGCACGCCGCGATCTCCTCCTCGCCTCTCACGCGCGACGCGATCTCCCCCTCCGCTCTCGCCTGTGATTTTAACGAGCAGGTAGAAAATTAGTTGGGAAGGGCCCACTAATGATGATGTGGAAAAATTTTAAATTTTTGGGAACCAAATTTTAGTCATCTATTGGAGAAGAGGGTGTATTTTAGGCTAAATATGTTTTTGGCTGTCCCCAATACAGGATTTTTGGGAGTTTAATTTTAGTCATCTATTGGAGATGCTCTAAGCGGGCTCATGGATTGGCCCGCTTGCATCCCTACTCTCAGGTTCCATGAATCCTAGCCAAAAGTTCATCAGAGAACAGTGCTTTGTCATTTTGAGCACACAGCTGTGAAGACTTAGGCCCATGCTATTTGAAGTTTCTGATGGCTGAGAAGTATTGACCAAACTGGAGTGTGGACACAAATTTCCTGCCCCAAATGTCCAGTGATTCAGTCCATGTTAGATGTAATAACAGAGAAACTGAGGCAACTTCTGACATTCTGAGTATCCGTGAACCGTGATTGGCATAAACATATAGCTTCAGCTGCCCTTTATGCCACTTGTGAAGCTTCTGCTTCGAGGTGCAGACGTGCAGCTTCTGTTCATTGTTAGCATGCATTATGGCATCATGATTGATTCATTCTGAGAAAATTAGAAAAAAGAAAGATGTCAGCTGTAAATCACCTTGATTGAATGGAAGCAATCAGATCCTCAAATAAACATCCAAAACCAGAAACAAAAATGCCTATACTGATTATTATAAATCTTATAAGAAACCTGATGGAGTACCAGTACCTAGTATCAAATGGATGTCGGCTAGTGATAAAGCATACTTGTTAATAATTTGCAGCAACAACCAAAATTTCCTCACATTCATTTAATTTGATATATCAAACAAATATTGCTATAAATCAAACATTGAACTTATAGCAATGCAATATGCAGCCTGTGGAAAACAACAAAAAAACAAAACAGACAATAATTGGCAATACTAACTTCTACCAAAAAATAAAGAGAAACTTGATCCAAAATATCCATCCATTAAATAGCTTCAGTGCATTATGCAAGGGATAATTACACCTAGTCCATTCGAAGCCAAATATCGTTGCATCTAGAGTAAAAACATTAACATTTTGAAAAAAAACTGATTGGTTTACCAATATAATTCTGCAACAAAAGGGCGAATAGATACACATAGCAACAATCATGCACCGTGTGGAAAATTTTGAAATCTTTTTTTGTTGTGTTGCAACATAAAGAGTGATCAGTGAAACAAGACTTATCAGTGATCACATCTAGGTTCTGAACATTTCTGTTCTCACGGAATTAGTCCGAACAGTTCTGAACCTGTCCATTTATCCGAAGCTTGAATGGTTCTGAAATCTATCGTGATGTTTGCTTGTCCAAAGTGTTACCTGGGAATTGGCAAATTTGCACAGGTTGGCCAGAAAGAAGCTCTCTGTCTGCTGCAGCTCACCATCATCTTCCCCGAGGTCAGCATGTTTTCGCTGTAAACCGCAGCGAGGAAGGCGGAGACCACCTGGTGCTGGAGTGAGTTCCACTCAGCTATGTGCAGCAAACTCACTGAAATAAATTGTTGCAAGCCATAGCGGATTACTACTGCATTGCCTCCTTCGATCATCAGACAATCAGTTTCTAGCTACCTTAGCCATAAAAAAAAAATCAGAGTGTTGTGAATTTACCTTATGTGCATGGCGTCATCAGCAGTCCACTTGGCTCACCCTAGACAAAAGAACCTCGAATTCAAGCAAAAGCCATAATTTTCACTTCATAATAAACTCAGTAATTTCAAGCCTGAAGATTAATTGTCATCAACAGTGAGATCAATGTTGGTGTCACCCAGTCACTGTCAATAGCAACTCGGTACGGGCGTGCTTGTTATCCAAGCTGAAGTACCTGGGGTTGCCCAGGTCAGCAAAGTACCTGGGGTTGAAGAAAATCTTTAAATCTTACCCATGATACACTCCTAAAAAGTTTCTGAAAACTGCTTGGCCCCATCTTTATTACATCATCTGTTGGAACCCTTATTCTCTGAAGCACTTATCTATTCTCTGTGCTATTTATGTAGCTAAGAGAACAATTCAAGTTATGTTACAAATGCATTATAGCAACTTCAAATAATATATATGGAATGTGCAGCTTCAAACAAGTTACATGTTCGCTGAACTCAAGGAGCAGGTTTGTCAAACAAGAGATGTACACCATATGACCAACACCTACTCTGCCTAGCGACCTGCATAAATATATTATCAATGTATCAAATTCAAGTGCATGGTAAAGACAGATGAGTTGGCATAGGAAACAACCATTTTGTGAGAAAGTAAACTTCTGTGAAGAATAATCAGAAATGATGGAATTTAGAAGACTTAAGAGTCAATGGCTCAATGCCATGATTTTTAATGTATTGAAACTATTTGTTAAACACGTCAGTTTTTAAATTCCATTTACAAAAGTTCAAAATGCATGCCTATTACATAGCATGGGATTACAAGGGGCATAAGTAATAAAGATTGTAATACTGCGAGGAATAAAATCATTGTTCACACTATTTTTCAAATATCTCAGGTACTTCAATATTTTATTTGCATAAATGAATATTGGGCAGTAAGAATGAATGAAACGGTGGTCTATATGGAAATTTGGCAGGTTGTGACAGTTATCTGGGAAGAAATTTCGCGGAGGATATTGTGCTGATCCATTCCTGTACTAAGGAACCAAAATGGCAGTTTGTTTAACTAAAAACAAAAATCAAATTGGCAAGCATTATGTGGTTTCTCACACCTGTATTCATGATAAAATTATCGAATATTTTAGCTGTAGCTGATGTTCAACGAAATTGGCAAGCATGATTATAACCGATGATTCAACGAAAAATAATAATTTCAAAAAAGCAAAGCACTAATTAGGCGCTGCCTCCAGAGAGGCCCGACTGTGTGCCTCCCATAGGGCATCTTTAGATTCTTTTTTTTTTAATGGATGCAGCTAACCGGCAGGGGGTCGCCTGCCGTGCCCCGACAAGGGGATCTTTTCACTGCTCTTTTTTCCTTTTCAGCTGAACGGCAGGGGGAACACGCCCGGCCGTGCGCACAGAGACGATCTTTTCGCTGTATTCAGTCGGGGTGGGTGCCCCCCGGGGAGGCGATGGAATAGAATCGACCCGCGTTGATAAACAGGTCGCGCTGTCTCTGAATCGGCGGTGTGGGACAAAACTCGATTGCTGGATGGATTCAGTCCGAGCCGGAAGCGCGGCGCGCGGACCGACCTAGGAGTAGAAGAGGGCGAGGCGTACCTGCTCTCCACGGAAGCCGGCGGCGAGGGCGCCGCCAATCTGGCCGGAGCTAAAAGTTTCCCGCCGGCCGGCCGCCGTCGCCGTCACCGATGCCGCGGAGACTACGCCCGTGGGACCCAGATCGTCCGCCCAAAGGGCACACCCGCAGCCGGCTGATCGCCGCCGGACGTCGGGAAGCGGCGCCGTCGGAGGAGAGCGAGAGACAAGGGGAGGGGGAAGCGGTGGCATGTGGATGTGGGATCGATGAAGTATGAGGCCATATTTCACTCGTCTGGGCTGGAGCCCAAGCTGCTCAAGGCCCAGTTCACGCCTGGGTTGTTCTTTTTTTTTTTTTCCCAAGGACTGGTTTTTTTGTGCTCAAAGTTGGTGGGGTTGTTAGTTTGGAAGTTGCTGACTATGGCCTGGTTTAGTTTTCAAATTTTTTCTTAAAAACATCACATCAAATCTTAGGACATGTGCATAGAGCATTAAATATAGATAAAAATAAAAACTAATTCCACAGTTTGTATGAAAATTGCGATACGAATCTTTTGAGCCTAATTAGTCCATGATTAGCTAAGTGCTACAGTAACTTACATGTGCTAATGATGGCTTAATTAGACTCAAAAGATTCGTCTTGCGGTTTCCATGCGAGTTATGAAATTAGTTTTTTCATTCGTGACTGAAAACCCCTTCCAATATCCGGTCAAACATCTGATGTGACATCCAAAAATTTTCTTTTCGCGAACTAAGTAGGTTCTTCAACTTTTGCAGAATACAGAGTTAAGCCTAGGTTTCTAGTAGTCATTAGTTGTTCGTAGATCTTCGTGGCCATTAACCATTACTCCTCTGTTACATAGTATAAATTGTTTGATATTTTTCCTAATCAAAATTTTTAAGTTTGATTAATTTTTTTAAAAAACAAGATAGTGGTATTTTTAACACAAAACAAATGTATTATCAAAATATATTTAATATTACATTTAATGAAATTAATTCGACATTATAGATATTGCTAAATTTTTCTATAAATTTGATCAAACTTAACAAAGTTTGATTAGCGACTAAAAATATGAAACAGTGGGAGTAGAAATTTGAGTTAGTGGTGTGTATTTTCTTTCTTAGAAATGGAAACCATCCCATTCGATGGCACGCTTTGTAGGATCGTAAACGGTGCAATTTTTTCGCAAAAAAAAAGACTTCTACTATATATATGAATTTTTAAAGGATGTTTAAATCAATCTTTTAGCTCTATGATAGTTAATTAATTCGTTTTGCATATTCGAATAGTTAACACAAAATCTTTCAACATTCAGCTATGAAGAAAAAAAAGAAAGACCCCAATCTCAGACGTTCCATGCAATTCATAAATATATTCCATCAAAAAACGGATTCACAAACTATCTTCAATCCTCTATCTAAAACAGGGACCATATTGACTACTCTTCCTAATCTTTTCCTCCTACTAACTTTTTACATGCTATGATACAGTAGATGAGATCTTATACACAGATACACATGTACAAATATATATAGCTGGGTATTTTTTTTCCGTTTCATTTCAGAAGCATGTAATCATCATCGTCATCAACATCGCCGTCGCCGTCGATCGTGGCCGATGGGCCACAGAACATGCCGCCCTGTCGCCGGAAATGGATGAGGGCGACGGGGAGCGTGCAGAGGAGGCTGGTGATGCCGGTGCAGGAGATGGCCTCCTCCACCGTGTACCTGGACCCGCTGAAGAAGAGCCGGTTCGTCACGATCGCCCCCACCGCGCCGCCGCTCGCCGTCATGCCCGACACCACGCCCAGCGACCTGCGTGTATTCACGCACCCACCAAATCAGCCAAAAACATTTAAAATGGGCACTGAAAATAGGTTAGTGAAATAATTCAGCAATTTTATAAAATTGTATGATTTGAGAAGGAGATATGTTTTTAACTTTTTAGCCGTCCCAGTAAGCCATCTCCATTAGACCTTACCCCCTACTTAAAAAAGACAAATCCTAGATATAAATTTGGATAAGTAATTACTCAGAAATTTATAGCTAGGATCTGATTCTTTTAGGGACTGAGGGTGTAGACGATGGATCCATTCATGCATGGTAAAACATGGGTACACGCAACAACATTTTGAGCATGCATCGCTGTCGTCAATTATTTTCAACCTTCACGTTTTAGAAAACGTTGGTTAATTTTGTTCATCTCGGTCCACCAGATTGAATCCTCCGGTTGCTTTCTTCAATAATTAAGTGTATATAGTCGGATGCTGTGGACGTCAAGAGTAGCGCTACCCACAGATTCTGTTTTAGATTCTCTAAGATCCTACCAATTGTTATGGCTGGCCGACGTCCTTGTACTACTTGGTAGTTGGCCAGTGTGAATCTGTGTGTGATGACCTCTCGTGTATCAGAGCCATCATCTTCTACTCGAATGAATCCATAATATTTAATAAAAGGGGCAATTAAAATATAATAAAACCTTATTGGCGTAGCAAATTATGTGTGGTTGAAGCTAAAGTGTAATTAAGAAGATTTTTTAGTTAGTTAATTAATTTAATTTAATTACCTTTTGCAGACGAAGGGAACGATGCCGAAGGTGAGGCCGGAGGCGGCCTGCACGAACGCCGCGCACGCCACCATGACGGCCACGGTCGCCGCCAGCGACGGCGCCTCCGCGGCGCCCATCCTGCCGACGAGCACACAGAGCGCGGCGCCGGCGCTCTGCACGGCCCACAGCGCCCACAGCCGCCCGCGCATCCCGAACCGCCTCGCCACCTCGTCGGAGGCCACCCCTCCGGCCGGCCGCGCCACCGCGTTCATCGCGCCGAAGCACGCCGCGGCGGCGCCCGCGGCCTCCATGGGCAGCCGGAACCGCCTGCGGAAGAAGTCCGCCGCCACGTTCTCCATGATCAGCTCCACGCCGTAGCAGTGGCCGTAGGTGAGGCCCAGCAACCACGCTCGGTAGTCGCCGACGCCGCCCCGCACCACCGCCCAGAAGCTCCTCCTCCGCCCGCCGCCGCCGCCGGGGCAGCGACCACCGCCGCCGCCCGGGAGGTCGTAGGGGAAGGCGAGCACGGCGAGGCCCGTGGTGACGAGCATGGCGCACGGGAGTAGGTAGGTGACGCGCCACGCGACGGTGACGGGGACGCCGAGGCGGAGCACGACGGCGTCGTAGGCGACCGGCATGACCACCTGCGCGGCGGCGCTGCCGACGTTCGCCCACCCGGCGGCGACGGCGTTGGCGAGCCCCACGGCGGAGGGCGCGAAGATCCGCGACATCCAGTGCTGGTTGGCGACGAAGTTGGCGAGCGAGAGGCCAGCCACGAACCGGAGCGCGACGAACCCCGCGGGGGAGGACGCGAACACGGCGGCGAGCGCGAGCGCCAGCGCGCACACGAGGCTGGCGACCCCGGACGCGCGGCGCGGGCCGAGGAGGTCGCAGGCGGGGCCCATGGCGAGCCTCCCCACCAGCGTCGCCGAGAGCGAGGCCACGGCGGCCGCCGAGGCGTCGGAGGGCGCGAGCACGAGCGCCGGGCGCATCGCCGGGAGGATGGGCGGCGCGGCGAAGGCGGCGAAGAAGCACGCGAAGAGGGACATCCACGCCAGGTGGAACGCCTGCGTGTGCGGCCGCGACAGCGCCATCGGCCGCAGCTCCGTCGCCCTCCCCTCGTCGTCGACGACGCCATCGCCATAGCCGCCGTAGTCGTAGTAGTAGCAGCCATCTTCTTCTTCCACCAGCTTCGTCTTCTTCTCCATGGCGACCATGGAGATGGAGGGGCAGAGCTAGCTCGAATTCGTGGCGGAAATTAAACGATGGAATCAATTAACGAGCTGGCCAATGAGGGGAGGGGTTTAGATTTTGGCGCGAGCGGTGGTGGTGGTGGTGGGGTGGTGGCGCGAGCGGTTTAAATACGAGGAGATCGCGGGGAGGAGAGAGGCCACGTATACGTAGGAGGGCGGTGGGGTTTCCAAGGTGGAAGCAAGTAGTAGCTAACAGGTGTCACTGGCAAGTGGGCCCTGGAGAGGGTGGGGCCCACATGTCAGTCAGCATGTCGTTCTATGCAAGCGCGGTGCGATTTGCATCAACGATCATTGATTAATTGTATCAAGAAGCTACTAAGCTGGGCGCCGCGTGCATGGGCGTGTGGCTCCCGGGGGGCTTGAAAAGGGATGAACGTTTATACTAGTAGCCTAATTACGTGATGAACTGACGATGATGATGACAAATTAATCAGGGCCGGACGAACGGGAGGTTTTTGATTAAATGATCGACCGTGACTCGTCGTATCGGTCGTGCTGCTAGCTGCCCAGGGTGTTGTACTGTTGTGTGTGCATGTCTCAGCATCTTTGATATGATGTAGCGCGGTCGTGTGTGCACTGTCCAACGGTATGGACCATCTAAAAAAAATCTCTGTTTGGTATAGAGCAAGTGATGATCGAATTAATGGCTCCTTTTTCTTTCAAGGGAAAAAAAATCTCTGTGTGCAATATCATCATGCATCTCTCATTCTCTCGTGTATGGCCGTATAGTCCTTAAAGTTTGTATCTCAGTATCATGAGCGAATGATACTCAAAAAAAGAAAAAAAATTGAAGAAGTATCATGAGCGAATGACGCGGGATGTCGAAAATTTCATTCTTCGCCAGCTCTTTTTATTTTTTTGGGGGTTGTTTAAAAAAGCTGTTAAAAATAAGACTGAAACTGAAAATAATTTAGGGCTCGCTTGATTTGGAGAAAAAAAACATAGAAATTTTAGAGGATTTCAATCCTATAGGAAAAATTTTATATGAATGCCTTTGAACCAAATGATTGAATCTTATCCAATCTTTTAAAATTCCTATGGAATGGACAAATCCTATAGAGATTTTAGAGGAAAATAGAAAGATCTTAAAGCTCTTGGAATTTCTTTGAGTCTATCTCTCTTATCCGATTCCTGTGTTTTTTCAGCGGTCCAATCAAACGGTTGTTAACGACCAAATTTGGTAAATTCTATCACTATTGGCATCGGAGATGAAGATCAGATCGAAGTGGAATCCAAGATGAAGATCGTTGCGGAAACAGAGTAAGAATCGGCTGCAGTCCAAATCGGCTAAGGTCAGGTCGGCAGAGTTCGAGTCGGACGGGGCTAGCCGATACAGCCGATTCTGATAATATGACTCGGTGTATGTCATCGGGTTCAAGTTGATGTGCTTCAAGATGATTTCCACTCATGGATAGAGTCCTGGGAAGGCAATTGTATTTATTAATTAGGATATTCTATGTGATTTCCTTAGAGATATGTTTGGGCAAAAGTCTGCCGTAAAGACTTATGATATCTTAGAGTTTGTTAGAGATAATAGTCGTGTCCATTATGGGCGTATCTTGTAATTCTCGGGTATAAATAGACCCGAGCCCTATGTAAAAAAAGGACAACACATCCAATACAATCTCGGCGCATCGCCACCCTTTTTGCTTTACTTTTATTTCGACGAGTTCGTGCTCTCGGGTTGAGCTGCATCGGTTTCGATCTTCAACAAGAGATAAAACTTGTCATGATGACTTATGTTCTCAGGATTAGTGTCTCCATCTTTATGATACTCTAATGTTGTCTATATGATTCGTCGAGTTATCATATATCTCACATAATCTTCGATAATATCTTTATCTAACCTATAATCGACTAACATCTGTCAATGGAAGGCAGCCGGTTAGGTTAGACAATGACGTTAACTTATGGCCGATGAGTATCATAACCTTATGGCCGATGAAAGGGAAGATCTGGTTCAATCACGGCTACGAGCCCTTGCAAAGGTTACTAGGGATAAGGAGCGAGTTGCCCGGCATTATAATAAGAAAGTAGTACCCAAGGACTTTTTGGAAGGTGAACTTGTATGGAAGTTGATTCTGCTGATTGGGACTCGGGATAACAAATTTGGCAAGTGGTCGCCGAATTGGGAAGGACCGTTCCAAATTCATAAGGTGATGTCTAAGGGAGCATACATGTTGCAAGGACTTGATGGAGAAGTTTATGGCCGAGCTCTAAATGGAAAATACTTGAAGAAATATTATCCCAGTGTTTGGGTTAATGCATGATCGGCTAGTGTTGCTGATACATCATAACCGATGTGTTTGCATCGCTTTGAGATGGCCGATATTGTTATATCGCCCTTAGTTGCTTTTCACTATTGTCATCGGTTGTGGTTTGCCGATGTACAAATGGCCGGTATTGTTATATCGCCCTTAGTCGTTTCTATAATTTTGTCAATATTTTCAACATTGTAAAATTAGGGGGGCACATACATAGAAAATTGCAACTTTTTGAAAATTGCAAATTTTTGAACATTGCAAATTTTTGAAAATTTTTGAACAAGCTGGCACAAGGATGGCACAGGGATTGTATTAACAGCAAAGTAATTAGGGTGTTTTAGCCGATTACAACAGTTTTCTACAGACTATTACATGGAAGTCACTGAGACAAGTATCGTTGGATAGCCGATATAGCCTTTTGCCTAATCTGATCTATTTCTTCGATAGCTTGGGCGTCTTGAGCATCGGTTCCAGGAATGACTTTCAAGGATTTACTCATCTCAGCAACGTTCTTGATAGCTGATTTTAGCCTTGCCTTCTGTTCTTCGACAGCTTGCGGGAGATCAGCTAACTTTTTGTGCTCTAGATCCAGTTCAGCATTGCATTCTTGAAGTTGTGCCAAGAGTTCAATCTTGCGAGCTTCAAGCCGATCAATATTAGATTTGATTGGGCCTTCAGATAACTGATCAAGCTTGGCTTTCTCTTCATGAACAAGCTGCCGATTGGTTTGGATTGTAGCCTCGATGTCCTTGCGCTCCCGGCGATCGGCTAACATCTGCCTGGCTTTCTCCAGTTTGAATTGATGCTACTCGAGGTAGACAGCTGGAGTAAGAGCATCGACTAATTCGTCCGGAAGAGAGGCTTGGATATCTACAAATCTTGCCCGGATTGAGCCACAGTTGGTCACCAGGTTATCCAGTGACGCTCCTAGCCGATGGGAGATGTCTTCGAGTGTTTTTTCACATCATCAGACAGGAGAGCTGTTGCTTTGCTGGTGGTGTCTTCTTCTGTTTCATCGAGGTAATCTTTGATGTCAAAGGAGAACAGATCGGCTAAGACCTGCAAGAGATAATATCATGGATGATTAAGGATCAAGATATGATTGGCCGATCTCAAATTTATGTTAATAAAACTTACTGGAATAGTAGGTGCAGCTAATTGTTCCTCCTCTTCAACATGATGACTGCCTACAGCCGATAGAGTGCGGCTGCCTGATTCTGCCTGCACAAGAGGGGAAGAAGGAGGAGGAGGCTGCCAAAGGGATAAATGTTAGATATAATCAGCCCAAGTCAGTTAATGAGATGATAGAAGTATCTTACTGGTGGAGCTGGTTTAGGGGCTGGAGTAACCGATTTCTTCCTCACAGCAATTTTCTTTCTCTATATTTATTAAAATTGTGAGGAATCGGCTATAAAGTAAATGATTGCAAAAGTGGACAGAGAAAGTTGCTTACCCTTGCTAATTGAGCTGGAGCAGAAGGGAATGGAGGAGCCTGCTTAGGTGAAGCCGATGGTGTTCTTTCAGTATCGCTTATTTCGGCTGCAGCTTGGTCAATGTCTTCCCCGATTTCTTCTTCATCCAGAGCTTGTTCGATGGATGGATCTAGGGCGGGTAGATCGTCAGCTGGCTTAGCTTTCTTTGTCTTAGCCTTCTTCTTCGGAGCCGGGGCTGAAGTATCTGTAGCCGATGATCTGGTTCTCCGCTTCTTGTCGGCATCGGCTGGTTCTCTGATGAGCCCTTGAAGAAGTGCTGAAGTCTTGGGGGCATTGAAGCTGATGGTAGAAAGAGATGGCCCACCTCCATTTGAAATTAGACCTAGAGCATACTTAATGACCTTGCCGCTATTGCTCTGGCGAGGAGGAGAAGATTCCGTTGTCTGCAAAACAGAAGAAAAGTTAGTCAAGGTTCAAATCGGCTGAATGACTATTCAAGCAAGATTGAAGAAATGAAGATTAACCTGAGGGATAGCATCAGGGAATAAGTCTGTCATGTACATGGAAGCCGATTGATGGAACAGATGTAGCTTCCACTCGCCCCACCATCTGTCAAATGCCCTGCTCCTGAGTCTTGCTAACTTTATGTTTTCAATGCTGCCTAATGGGGGTCCAGGGATGTTCAATAGCCGATCCATCATCAAGGTTGAAGAGATATTGCCTCTGCACTGGATCTTGTCGGTAAAGTACAGGCCGATTGGCAATTGTCCCATTCCGAGCTGTCTGGCCGATGACATTGGATGATAAAACTCGTAAGAGACCTGAATATTTCTCCCTTGATGTATGCCAACTGGGAGGATACATGGGCTGATGGCAGTAGTGAAGATTTCTCTAGATTGCTGAAACTTTTCATGATTAATGTCTTCAAACCTGAAATCGGCTGGCAGTTCGAAATCCATTGAGTCGGCATAGAAGAACCAAATTCGGGCATCTTTTTGGAACCCGTCATAAAAGCTGAAGAACCAGTCCTTCAGAAGTTCAGCCGATAACTTTGCTCCTGCATCGGCTGGTGTAGATGCATATTCTCCGTATGACATACATCTGCGATGGGTGCGTTTTTCTCCATCATCTTCCATAATCGGCTCCAACCTTGGAAATTCAGCTTCTGTCACAGATGGCCGATTGACAACTTTCATGACTACCAGGTTCAGCCAGGATTGCAAGAGCCACCATGGTCCACCTGTTCCAACCACTGAGCCGACAATTATCTTGGCCGATGCGTTGTTTAATATCTGGTATAGATAGCCGAGAAGGATTTTGCCTAAGGGAAATTGTTTCTTCGTTACTAGGGCCTCGGCTAAGAATTGCCAGTTGGTTGTAGGACCGTAGCTTGATC